CTATATTTTTCGGAGTCTGACTTCAAAATTTGCCTTTGTTTACAAACAAAGGTTTGTTTATTTACATTTTCAATGTTTATTTACATTTTTCCTTTGTTTATTTACATTTTCAATGTTTATTTACAAAAATTTTCAAAATTTTATAAAAATTTTGACGGCCGGTTTTAGAAATTTCGTTTGTTTGCAAACAAAGGTATGTTTATTTACATTTTTTGTTGTTTGTTTTGAGAAAATTCTTGGAAATGACGTCACATTCCTGGAATTCCCGAAATTCTTGGAAATGACATCACATTCTTGGAATTTTCAAAAATTTCTATATTATTCGGTGTCTGACTTCAAAATTTGCCTTTGTTTACAAACAAAGGTTTGTTTATTTACATTTTCAATGTTTATTTACATTTTTCCTTTGTTTATTTACATTTGCAATGTTTATTTACAAAAATTTTCAAAATTTTATAAAAATTTTGACGGCGGGTCTTAAAAATTTCGTTTGTTTGCAAACAAAGGTTTGTTTATTTACATTTTCAATGTTTATTTACATTTTTCCTTTGTTTATTTACATTTTCAATGTTTATTTACAAAAATTTTCAAAATTTTATAAAAATTTTGACGGCCGGTTTTAGAAATTTCGTTTGTTTGCAAACAAAGGTATGTTTATTTACATTTTTTGTTGTTTGTTTTGAGAAAATTCTTGGAAATGACGTCACATTCCTGGAATTCCCGAAATTCTTGGAAATGACATCACATTCTTGGAATTTTCAAAAATTTCTATATTATTCGGTGTCTGACTTCAAAATTTGCCTTTGTTTACAAACAAAGGTTTGTTTATTTACATTTTCAATGTTTATTTACATTTTTCCTTTGTTTATTTACATTTGCAATGTTTATTTACAAAAATTTTCAAAATTTTATAAAAATTTTGACGGCGGGTCTTAAAAATTTCGTTTGTTTGCAAACAAAGGTTTGTTTATTTACATTTTCAATGTTTATTTACATTTTTCCTTTGTTTATTTACATTTTCAATGTTTATTTACAAAAATTTTCAAAATTTTATAAAAATTTTGACGGCCGGTTTTAGAAATTTCGTTTGTTTGCAAACAAAGGTATGTTTATTTACATTTTTTGTTGTTTGTTTTTAGAAAATTCTTGGAAATGACGTCACATTCCTGGAATTTTCGAAATTTTCTTAAATTTAAGTTACTTACTTGTTTTATACTTACCTTTTATATACTTACCTTTTACTTACCTCTTTAAATTGCCATGTTTTCTGGAACTATTCATTTTTTAATCATTTTACTTAATTCTAATTATAGATCTAAATTTATGTACTTACTTTTGCCTGTTTTTTAACTCTTCTTACTTCTATTTTTTACGATATTCAATGTTTTTAATAGAGATACTTATTATTTACGTAGTTATTTGTTTTCAATTGTTTGTTTTATAATATTGAAAGTTTTTTATAGTTTTTTTAATATTAAAGATTTTTATTGTAAGATAGTATAACATAAAGATGGTAGAGACATTAAGAGAATATAGCAAATATAAGAATACTAATGACATTTGCATACTTACATCTTATAGCTGCTATTTTTTTATACATAATGTTTTTTATTATATTTTTACAGAGGATTCAAAAATATACAAACTGGGATAAGTAGATTTAAAAATGTTTAATTTATTTAAAAATCAATATATCTCACATGATATGAAAGAAGTATTCTTGTCTAGACGCAACGCAATTTGTTCTTGCTATTGCAATCGATATTTTTAATAATAAAAGTAAAGTTTTCAAAGCATCTTATTAATTTGATAATTTTAATCAAACTATAAAACACGAACATTCATTAATTTTCGATCACAAAATGCAATGAAAATTTAATAAATAGGACAATACAATGCACAGTTATCCTTTCTTTAATAACTGTGCGCCATGAAACTGATATTTATTTCTTTATCTAATCGCACTAAGAAAAATTTAGATAAGAGTACTTTATTTCTAGAGTTTAAGATCGTGCACTATACATAGACTCTGGTACGATGCTGGTACTTGGAATCCGCTCTAAAATCCTCGTCTATTTCTTACGAAGCAAAAATCGAAGATTTCTTGACCCTTGATCAAAGAAGCAAATAAATATATGAGTAAAATAAATAAGTAAAAAAAAAAAAAAAAAAAAAAAATTGAAAATAAAAAATAAAAAAATAAGTCATTAATTTTCTTGATAAAAAATTAATCGATCTTTCCTTATCAAATGAACCATGAAATTTGTCCCTCCAATGATGTAATCGATCCTCACAGCTACGCAGATCGCCTTCTCGCCAAGAGTTGGTATCGTCTTCATGGTAGGCCGCACTCACTTATCACGCGCGATTAATTTATTCCTGCACATTTTCAGTCACAGAGAAAATCGATTATCACCCTTGAAATTACCACAGCCTCTCGCTCTTTCGATTCTCGGGAGGAAGGAAAAATAAGATCGAAACGAGAACGATGATGAATTTTTACTCGTTGAAATATCCGATTCCCGCGTGTATTTTCATTTCTCAGATTCTCAAAAAAGAATAAACAAAAGTGGGAAAAGGAATACACGCACACGCGCACACATACACACGCATACACACGCGGTAATTTTTAATTTCTCGAAATATCCAATATCTCTCACGATTAATTTATACGATGCAGATTCGTTTCCCAGAATCCCTCGACTTTTTTCCCCCGAGGAGGAACTCGTTGACCGCTCTACACCTTTTGCCATTTCTTACTATTCTTGCTATCCGTACCCCGGTGGCATCGCGCGACCGATGCGGAGCGGATTCTCGCAACCGCGAGCGCAAACCGAGCAGCGTTTGAAAAATGTCGTTTGCGGAGTACGGCCAGGGCCGTATCCGTGTGCCGTTCGTCGACCTGTCGACACATATAGGGAACGAAAAATGGTGGACACGAGAATAGACGGGTTTCTGCGGCTTTGAAGCGCGAAGGGGGAAAGCGTGCAGCGAGAATGATCGCGAGAAGCGGGTAATTCCAAACCGGAGAATTATTCTGAGTAAACGGAAAAATGGTTGGTTGGACACCTAGTCGTTTCTCCCATCCATGAGGGGAAAAACGTTAGACTTATCTCTATTTAGAAAAATTATTCGATAATTATTCGATAAGGTGTAGCTGCTTCGTTCTTCGAAGAAGTTCCATCCATCGATCATTGTGTCTGTAGACCTTCGAATTTATATGGTGAGGACAAGTCTTTGTCGAGGTAGAAAAAAGACCTTTTACTGGTACAGTGGTACAATGTTGGAAAATTCTTTGTTAATCCGATAATAAATGGAACTATTGAAATTTTTATTATGTATTTGAAAATTAGTTGGGTATAATAAAAGTTGTATTGTAAAATTTACTTTGAAATTACTTTAAAATTTACAATATTCCATTGTACAGATAAAAATGTTTGAAAATGTATAGATCCTCCTTTGTCTCGAATTCCTTTGAAAATACTTAATAACTTAGGTAAAGGTTTCTAAATTTTAAGAATTTTGTAAAATTTTACAGTTTATAGAAATTATTGTTTTATTACAATCTTCCATTTTTGAGGATTTTCGGAAATTTCAATTCTTTTTAGAAATATTTAAACATAAATTTAAAGTAATGTTTTTGATTTTAATATCTTGTGTTTCTTATTAATCTTCTCTTCCGTGCTTCGATTACTTTTTTACATCTGTCTCAATTGCGTATAAAATACGGGACAATGACTCTTCTTTATTTTCGTAACAGTGTACCCGCATTCTCACCTATACAAAGTCTACGTCTGGCAGCATTTATGGTCGTAAGGTAACGAGTACAGTGCAATAAGAGTCTACAAGTTCAGACCAGATAGCGACACTGACGACGCAATTAATTAAATCCATGATAAGAACTCGGAGAATATGTATATTACTAACATGTGCCAAAAATCTGATGTAATCTTCACGAATTACTCTATTTAAAAAAAGGTTATCGTTTTTTCGAACGAAAATTAAAACTAATAGAATGATTGCAATTCTCATTCTCTCTCTTTCTCTCTCTTTTAAATTTTTTTTTAATTAAATAATCAATAACTCTTTGACAAAATTTTGCTAACTTTCATACAATATTTTCCAATCGTTTGCGTAATTTTATCCATTCTGCTCTTCCCCATGCGTCCTTCATGACGCATATATGGAATGGACGCACATGAATAGTGTACAAAATAATGCACAGATTCGATGCAAATTCAATGTGAATTTAAGACGAATAACGATATGAAAGATAAAGAAAAAAAAGTCTTGAAAAAATTCTTGAAAATTCGATGTAAAACAATTAACGGGACAAATATAGATTCATATCTTTATTTATACTATAGATGGAAAAATATTTATTTAAAAATCACGTTTTATGCACGAAACTTTGATATACCATTTTATAATTATTTATTTAGAAAATTATATCATATTAATCATATCAATTATATCAATTATATTATACGGAACATAGATATACGAACGTACATCTATTTCGATTCGATAATTTGTTCTACGAATCAATCGTAGATATTTAATTTTTCATTGCACCGAATCATTGAATTTATGCGAATCACATAAATTATCATTTTCCATTTGTTTTCATTATTTTTTCTTTAAATTTTTTATTCAACAATAATATTCAATTCAGCCAAAATATTTTGTCGAAATATCACTGAAAAAAATGAAAAAGTATTTAATTAATATAAAAAATTATATTAATACTTATTTAAAAAAACATACCATCAAGCGATGTTAATGTATCAAAATTTTACGTAACGCAGATCTGTAGTTTAAAAAAAAATTGCGATTATCATAATATTTGCCAATGAGATTATCATAATAACAACTATGAGCACAACATAATGATAAATTAACATAATGATAAATTATTATTCCAAAAACGGACGGAATACAAAATTCTTCTAAATTATTTAGAGTTAAACAAAATTCTTTTTTCATTCCATTTTCAAATCAATTTTACTTTACGTTTCGCATCTTATCATTTCTATTATTTCAAAAAAAACAAGAAACAAATAATCATATGAATAATTCTTATTCTTTGTTTCGATAATGTTTTTTAACAAATTCCTGATGATAAATAATCGACGGATTGTCGATTATTGCACAGACGATAGCCATTAAAAAAAAGATAAGACTAAAAAAAAAAAGCGAATTTGACAAAACAATGACTAATTCCTTGATTTTCATGTATGCTACAGATATCAACAAGATAATTATACGATGACTGTTTTCTTCCTTATGTGGTCATTATGTTTGGATTCTTGAAGCCTATATCTATTACTCGGAAAGGTCAAAATAGGCAGACAGCGTCTCTGATGGAATTACATAATTTTATTTTGTCTAGCGTGACGCGATAAATCCACAAAATTTCTGAAAATTGTCGAATGTCGGCACCGTATTTGACAACTCTTTGACATCCATCAATTGCGAAATTCTAAGGAAAAACAATTTGACATTGATTGGAATATTATTCGTCACATTCTAATATTTTTTTTCTTTTATCTCAAATTCAAAATTTAGTTTTTTCTTTTTAGAACGAGAATATAATTATAACATTCTTTACTATCGATTAACGCTCTTTGATTTAACTTCAATGCATGAAAAGAAATTAAAAAAAAAACGTATGCTTACCTTATTCGCAATCCAATACGAATTTCTTATTTCATGTTTTTTTGCTATCCAGAGTCGGTAAGTCACTAATCCTCAATGCATCACGGTGACAGATTAATTATGTTTAACAAATTTAAGGAATAGCAATGGAAGTCATTTTTTTGCATGCAGTCTAATTTTTTCGCTCGCTATTTCGATAATGAGTACATGATGAAAAAAGGCGAAGATAAGAGAACCTCGCCGGAACCTCTAATCAATGGACCAACGTCCACTCAAGATTGCACGCTAGGAAATTAGAAAATGACCGGGTCCGGGTAGGATTTTTCAAACATCGAACTTGTAACCATGCGAGCATCGCGTGAACACAAACTGTGAATAGATGCTTCGCGGTTTTCAATCCTATGTATAGTAACCCATACGTTTTTCCCGTATCATCTACCCAGTCTTTTGCTCGTATTACGTCAGAAATCAATAAAACGTTGCATAAGATTTATATTCATCAATGCTCATGATATTCACCTGAAAATCGAGTATAATTGTGCGTTAAAATATTTCCTCGTTTTATTTTTATTTTTTTTTTCCTTTGCTTTAAATAATTAACGGGGTAATAATCAATCAATGTACAATACACTCTCGATAATGATAAAATACACTTTCAGTCAGATTGTTTTTTTTTTATTTTGGATATTCATTAGTTTATTAATATTAAAGAATCACGATAAAAGTGAGCGTATTGCACTTGGAAAGCTTCTAGCATGGTCTACCCGCATGTTAAGCTTGTTCAAGGAAAAAAAGCAAAGCGGCTGCGTGATTCTCTTTTGACGATAGAATTGAACTAGTTTCTTAAATGATTTTAGATAACGCTGACATTATTCTATTTGGAATCTAAGTGACGGTGATATGAATATTTACATCGAAATATTTCAATAAAATTTCAAAAAAATTTCTTGCGAACTTTGTCTGATTAAAAACTACACTGATACACTAATATAAATAAATTTGCTGGTCACGAATCAATCCATGGCTTTCACTCATGAGAACACGTGCTAAGTTGAATCGTTTTCATCACTATCACGTGTTATAGTTTAATTCGAATCACGTTTTCGTCTCGATGAAACAGTTAAAATTTTCTTATTATTGATATAATTTCGTTATTCGATTAAATCACGTGGCTGTTTCACGTTTTTTTCCTATTCAGAGAAACCTCAAAAGAGTCCTACCTTTCCTATACACATGTAACAATATAGCAATCTGTTTGTCTACGGTAAATCTCCTAAAAGCGTATCTAAAAATCCAAAATCGTATCGCATCGGTATCTCATCGATCATCGAGGGTATTCGTATATACTACAATCTATTCTCTCACCCTGACATACCTATACTAACCTCTCTCTCTCGAGGTCGTAGGATCCAGGTAATTTCGAAATATCATGAGGAAGCCTCATGTCAAAATATACGTGACTGTTCTCGCGTTTCCGTTAATTGGCCCTTTGCTTCCTTCGCAGCTGCGTTACCAGTACCTCGTAGACGTGTGCCAATTGGTCGGAGCACCCTTGAAACTCGAGCGGATAACCAATCGACTGGTCGGTACCGAAACGCTCCTAGGAAACGTGAGGTCGCCACTCGTGCCAGCTTTAACGTGCCGCTTCGACAGTTAACCACAGTCGTTGTTTGTGTTTTGTCGCAGACGAACGAAGAGACTGATCGTGAGTTCGGTCAATCTCTATCTTCTGACAAAGAGATTTGCGTGTTATCGAAATTCGAATTACTCTTTGTCGATCTCTCGAGTGATAATTGAGATTTATCAAATAATGTATACATCTCGCGAATTTCCCATCGTCTTTAATCTCTATGAGAAATATAGTTAAACGATTTTGAACAAGGTATAAGAGGTAAACGGAGTTGATTGTATGAACACTGACAACGGTACGAGCGTTTAACTCAGTGAAGCGTGCATGCCGGCCACAGTAACTGAGGTGAGTCAATAAAGTCGCAGAATTTTTCAACGAGCATTCAATTTAATTCCATTCGATTCCCTTGACCGGGCGCAACGATAATTCGAGCGATCAATTAGTCTCATGGCCAGTCGGCAATCGCACTGCTTCCGCTGTATCTAATTAGATACATAGGTCCGCGATGCGGTAACACTATGTAAGGGATCAATTTACGAGATTTTTTTACTCTCTTTGTTTACTTCGTCGTATCAGTTAACTTCGTAACATCGTGATCAACCGTCGAGAAAATTTAAATTATGTATAACGTATCGAATTCGATAAACTCATTCACCGGTGATCATACATTCAAGGTTACATTGTGATAATGTGATTTAATTTATCATTAATGTGAAACTTTTGCGTTAGTTTTGAACAATTTTTGTTAACGGTTAAACATTTGTAGAGATTCCCCTTGCGTTCGTCAATTCTACATCTACGAAACATTTAATAATTTGCGTGGTCAGAGTAATAATAGTCAGGGGTGGGAGGTGGATAAGCGCGCTTGAAGAGTATATTATGATCAAGTGACAGTTCGCCAGCATATCATAACGTTCGTGTCGTTGAAAACTTGTGCATCGTTCGGCTACAGTGTATGTTATTTTTCGCGCCTTTCCATTTTGAGATTCCAACTGATCGGTCCAAGTTAGTTTGGCAGGGCGTTAACAGCAAAATAAACGATTCGATTGGTTACGATATTGTGGAGAGATTTTCTAAAAAAGCACTGTAAATTTTAATCTCGGGTCGTGAGGGCTATCACGTCGCATTTCTCTTTTTCTTTTCACTCAATGCTTCGTATAACGTGAAAAGTCGAAGATTTGTTCAGTGTTGATCGAAACGTATTTTCGTCTCGAATGAATTCAGTTGTCTAAGAAAAGAGGTATTTGTCAATTGAATCTTTCATTCGCGAAATCAAATATTTTCTGACAAAAATTGTGTTTATATCTTCTATAAGGAATAAGTGAAATGATGATAAAATTATTTTTTTTTTCAGAGGAAAGCAATCGTAATCAAGTGTAACTGGTAAGATACTCGTTACATCGAAGAGTTTAAGGAAGAATATCCGGAGTATATACGATCATTGTTTCAAATACAATAAGCAGTATGACTAAAGTATCGGGAATGGTCGAGACAGAGGACGTTGTCGGAAAACCGACTTTTGTTCGACGTGTGTCCAATATGCTAAAAGGTAAGAAATCTTCGTTTTATCGATAATTGAAGATAAAGGAGATAAAATAAAATTATATCTTCTAATTATTGATCGATTATTTTCTGTAAATTATTAAATCGATTACCATTTTTTTTTCACAGATGGAAGTTACAGCGAACCACCGATGCTATTTCGTCACGCTTCTATGCAGAAAATTCGCCACTGTTGTCAAAATTTGAATTTATTGCCTTATCTGCTATATTCCTTCGACAATTCGAAGTCGCACCCAATCGCCCGTAAAGTACATAATTGTCTCGGCCAGTTTCTTCAAGTAATCACAGCGAGGATCTTTTTGCTATACAAAAGTTTTCGGCGATCATTGCTCTGCGGTATTCGTTCAAGCGAATTTCAAGCATCCGAGCCACCAAAAACCCCCGAACCTTGCAAATTTACAGCGAGATTCCAAACTACAAGGCAATTGAAACGCAAACAAAATAATCGGCTGATCTTGACCCTAGGCGTGTACTTTGCCCCTTTGTTTTTGTTCTCACAACTGGTCGGACTATTCTGTCTGATGATATTTGGAAAGTATACGCCTGGTTTCATTTTCCTAATATCGGCCCTATTGTTTCTCGCCTACATCTCGTTCAAAGTTCTCTTTCACGATGCCGAATCGACGAGACCATCTAGACGTAGATATCGCAAGATAATTAAAGCGGAATGATTGTATCTTGTGCCCGCTTATCTAAACTATTACTATATGATCAGACTGTCCATTGGATAGATAATAGACCTGAGAGTATTGAGTCTTTGCCTAATTTACCGTTCTCCATTTTCGTATTTGATTATACTTAAGCGATGCGATACCAGGTAGGGCTTTACTTATTACGTGGTCTTGTATACCGTATGAATCAGTTTCGTCCATATTCATTCATACTCGTCTCTCTTTTTCTAATATATGTACATGATAATCATGTTTTCATCATCGAAAGCTTCGTAGTTACTTTAGGATCACGATCGATCGATCCCATTGGTTCGGAAATTTCATAATCTTTTTTTTTTTCTTTTGTACTTGGTCATTTATCGGACTGATACACGTAATCGTATGCTCGTTGTTGCGACGTGTAAAAGATAGAAGGTAATGTGATGTGTTTTTTTTTTATAAATAGGTCTTAAAAATTTATGCGATAAATTTTTATCAATACTGGCATAAATCGTAATCCTTCTGTTATTTTATATTTTTGCCTTTTTCAAAATAATTCTAAGAATCATTGTCAATATTATATCATCGTGTTAGTTAACGCTATGTATAATATGAAGTGCAATTTACGAGTTACCTGGATAGCGTATTGCAAATCATTGTCTATAGCAAAAAAAGACTGAAAATCGTTTTAACTTGTATATATATAAAAAAAATTAGACGCGTGATGAAAAAAAATATATACATATAAATATGCGAGAAGAAAATGATTTATTCTATATCATAAGATATATAATATAATTATCTTTCTTTGGAAAGACTTAGCACGTCCACTGAGCGAGTTAGGCTAATCTGTGATTAAATGGACCCAAGTGTATTTTTCATAGCCATTTGTTGTCCCATTTACTTAAGTATCATAAGGAAATATGTAACTTTGATCTTTTTTTTTTTTTAAATATACACATTAGCCTTACATAATCTGAATATATCGTCTTTTTTTTTTAATACTGTACAATTTATGATCTACCTATTTTTACCTTGTCAATGAAATAACACTAAAAGAAACAAGCAACAATACATGAAAACATTAATCATATTACTATAGTGTTTTCCAGCGTTGTTTTCAGACTTTAATTTCATATCCGACTTTAATTTCATAGCGTGTGCAATCACAAGTGCAACATAGCTTTGTTCATGTACACTATGAAATAAGTGAGCATACGGACCTAAAAGATAAATATTTGTTTAAACTTAAATTTCTCTCTAAGTTGATTGTTGTGAATCATCGAAATATGTATATACCTATAGCATAGATAGCTACGTCACCGCCACCATGATAAGCTTCATCCGATATAATAGTTGCCTGTTGACTATACGTGAATTCTGTTGTATTTTCTTTAGAAGGATCTATCCTAACAGAATTAGAATTATTAACTATATAAGCCATATTATTCGGTCCACCTGTGCTGTAACTCAACGTAGTATATGGGATTCCGTCGATTTTAGATTTCTGAGCTATGCCTATAACATAAATTACAATTATATTTGCATAATTCTCAATTCAATTACGTTTAACTTAAAACATATATTATTGTAAAAATCATATACCTAGAATGTGTGAACCTCTATCACTATATCCATTAAAGCTCATCGAATGCGTATGATCACTGGTTACGATAACAAGTGTGTCTTGCGTATTGATCATTTTCAAAGTTGCATTAATGGCGTCCGAGAACCTAACAGTTTCTAATAATGCTTGTGCAGCGTGACCACGATGATGAGCAAAATCAATAAGCCCTCCTTCAACCTAAAAATTACCACTTTATATATCCAATTAATACAAAATGTTCTTGTTTAGTAAAATGAAGATATATACCACGAGAAGATAACCATATTTCGATTTCTGCAAAATTTTCAATGCGGTCACAGTCATATCTTCGAGACTCGGCTGCCCTTTGGGACCTTTTTTTCTATTCCAGTCCATGCTAATATGACCATTTGCAAAAATTCCTAACAAGTAATCGATTTTATCAACGTTTACGCGAGATAATTCTTCGTTATTTTGAACAACAGAGAAGGCCAATCCTCTAGAGGATTTGTCTCGTTTCCATTCCTCGATTAAATCTTTACCATCCTGTCTGTGACCAGCCCACTCGTCTATAGGATCGTATTTAGTGCCTGTAGCATTGGTCTTGAGCATTTGTCTACCACCTCCCATAATTACCTAAGCCAAAAATACAGAGTTACAAAGATACAAAATTAACATTTTTTTATCATATTCTATCGATTTCGAATGTTTCATGCAATTGAATTAATATATTTAACAAAAGATGAAAGATGATGTACTTAACAATCTCTCAAATTGATGCGAAACATTCTACTGAACAATCAGGATATATTATAGTTTGCCTTGATATTTTTTCCTGGTAGATCTTCCACCAATTGTCTGGCGATGTCTTTGCATTTTTCAGCAGTCTTCGGCATTTTTGACTCGCATTCCCATCGCCTGTTCGCGCTGTGCGCATATAAAGGTGCTGGAGTTGCATGGGTCACCCTGGTAGTTGTCACGAATCCTATAAAATCATAATTTGAATTCTTATTCCTGTAGAAAAAATTCTTATTTATTTTTATTCAATTTATTCTTACTACCTGTGTCTTTACCAACACTCTGCGCCCATGAAACAATAGAATCCACATGATAATCTGTTTTCAAACTCTCAGAGCAATTGTTTAATGCTACATTTGCATCCAGTCCAACTAGATCAAAATTCGTTTTTACTCCACCAAATAAAGCAGTTGCCGTTGAAGCTGAGTCTGGTACTTGCTTGTTAGTATTGTACGTCTATTTTATTAAAAGCTAATATTAGTTATCTTTTCTGTAATCGTTTTTAGAAGATTAAGGATTAGGAATAAAGACCTTAAGAATGCCTATGTGAGGAAAATTTTCCCAAGCCAAACGACTGGTTTCGCCAGCACGGTATATTCTACTGGCGGTTATGGTGTCAGGACTCATGCCATCGCCTACAAAGACGATCACGTTCTTCGCTTTGTTCATATTCCATTTGTATGATAAAGCTTCCTCCAATTCTTCATTAGCCAATTCTCGCCAATATTGAATATCTGAATAAAAGAAAAAATTCTGATTAAATAATTGAGTCTCCGTCTTTTGAATCTGTTTACGTGGCACGTACACAACACGTGTATTTTGCATAATGATAAATAAATAGGACGGACATGATAGCTGTATAAATAGAAATTCATATTTTGAATAAAGAATTATAATTGTGATATTTGTTCGCGGAAATGATTATTTTAGATATGAATACTTTGACAAGACCAATGAAAGGAAATATAGAGAGTATAAGAGAAATATTGTTTGTACTATGTTATTATTGGAAGAAATCAGTTATTTTGCTGATTGCAGAGTTGCTTATAATTACAAAATGTGCACGAATTAATAAAATTTAGTTATACCTTCTTTCAATGTAGCAAAAACGATTCCAACAAGAGAAAAGCTGACGTATAATGTGATGAATTTAGTTTTTAACATAATGAAATATTACACTGATTTGAACTGCGTGTCTGATAATTACGTATAAGTGTTATTACATGATACTGAGCATGAATAGATAGAATATAACTAATCATCTAATTTTTATGATCTCGTAACGCTCTCTATTGTGAAACGCATTGTATTAAATCGATAAGGAAGAAACCTGTTTTATTTCTGAATTTTTTATCATTTTTTTTTTTTTTTTTTTTTTTGCATATTTTGATAGGTTGATCGGATGAAAAAATTAAACTGGATTAACTAACATTCATTGTAACGTTTTATTTGATTTTTGTTCATATTCATCGTCTGTTCGTACAGATCGTAATACATCGCGTAATACAATCTCTAAAGAATTATTTTTCTTTTCTTTTCGTGTCTGACTCTGTTTTAAATGAAATTAAAAAAAAATAAAATTGATAAAATCTACCATTCGAAAAGTTTTCTCCATTTGAACCTGTTTTTTATCTTGAACATTTAATTTGATTAAAAAAAAAAAAAAAAACGTACAGTAAAAAGAAAATATGAAAAATGATTTCTTCACGCGTTCAAAACAATATTTTTTTAAAGATTCATCAAAGGAGCAAGTTCCATTATTAGATTATCATCTTAATCCATCAATTCCTACAATTAAATAAGTTTATAAATTTTGATTTTTTTCAATGCAAAACTTGCTTCTCGATGCAACTTTCGATTAAAATAAAAGAAAATCATCTATTAAACAAACAAATGTTATGTTTCCTCTTAACGTTAATTAACATAATTTCGTTAATTTATATTTGGCCAAGAACAGGTACCTTGGAACGAAATAAAATCATTGAAAATTACGAGAATACGTTCTGAATCGGCACTCGAGATTATATCCTTCGATGGATCCTTTCACTGTCCATATCACACAAATTGATCATCCAGGCAATTGTTACGCGAGTATTATGCTGGACACGATCTTTTGTGCCTTTTTGTGTAATTGTGGCCAACTATTTGGACTGTTCGAGGCTTACTTTTAGCACTTTTAACTTCGTTCACTCGAATGTGCTATTTCTCCAATTTTTCTCGTCGATTATTGAACATCGATTGATCCACAAGCTTGGTGATGATAACATTGGGAGAATAAAAGACGAGCTAATTAAAACATGGTGGATCAGACGCAAAGCGGAACAAAATTCTCTTCTTTGAAGGGAAGGGAATTGGAATAGTTGGCCACGATTTCTTTTGAAGGAGAAAAAAACATCACTATCGTATAACTCTCACTGTGACAATTGGCCTAATATAAACTCTCTACAAATCTCTCTTACACGATAAAGTACAATAAAGTTATCCTCGTATTGAACGCGATACATGCACGTCGCGCTGTATCGATTACAGACGCCGCACGATTCATCTCTCTCTCTCTCTCTCTCTTTCTCTCTCTCATCCACCACTACTCTCTCTCTCTTTTTCTAGTTGAAATATTATTGCCAACAATTTTTGTGTCTCGAGATATTTATAACTTCCCTTTCTTAAATAATTCTTCCAAATGCTATACGAAAAATCTTCGTAGCTCAACAATCCTTAATTTATCTCTTTAATCCGCATTTATACAGCATCATCTCTACTATCGTCTATCGAAGCATTTCAGATCTCCTATCATTCTCGATTCTCTTATTTTCAAATCGATCGAGTACGATATAGTAGATCGCAATCTAAGAACCATGATCTTGTAAACGCGTAGAAGTGACGCCAGGAAGGCCAGGATTTACAGTCGGATCATATGATATTGCCATATAATTTCTTACGATCCGACAAGGATATAATAAAATCGCTGAACCTTGGAGTCAATTCTCGTTTCTCTCTATCTCTTTCGAGTTTCAGGCCACGTAATAACGAAGAATCGTACGCTGAAATCGTCTCAGCAAAAATATCTACCTGCAGCGTCCGTTTTTATTGAAATTATACATATACGTACACGATAAAATTGACTTTACGATGGCAGAAAACACACACACATACACACACACACTCTCTGTTTTTCTCTCTCTCTCACATACACACATACATACATTTTCTTTCTCTCCTTTTCTCTCTCTCTCTCTCTCTTTCTTTCTCTATTTCTGTAATCTATCTATCTTCTCGAAAATTTCCTTTGCTTTCTTGCTTCCCTCTCTCTCTTTCTTTCTCTCTCTGTCTCTCTCTCTCCCCCTTTTTTTTCACGTTAGATTCGAGAAAGTCTCGCGAACGCAAACGAAACGATTCGAAATGTGAACGCGTGAAGATTCCCTTGACACTGTTCCCTCGAACCCTAGAAAGAAGCGCGCGTGCTTCTTTTTCTTAATGGAGTTCGAGTGGCGCTCGAGCGACACGAGCTCCTTCAGAATAGAATAATGCCGTCGATTACGATGCATGCTTACGTGAAATGCTCGGCTCGTTTACGAATGGAAACCGATGTAACAGGTAATAATTGACAGTCTACGTTAACACGCTAATTGGCAGCGTCCTCGAGTTTAACTTCATCATCGGCTCGACGCGACAAGATACGAAACCGGTCCCCCGACGAACAGACACGGATTTTCACGTTGTAGATGAAGTTGGGGCAAAGACGCCGAGTAAAATGCATTAATCACTACTGATATGTGCGCGATGATTTTTTTTTATCTCGGATACAAACAAAGAGATCGTCTGTCGTGTCTTTTTCATCGCAATCACATCCGCGACGGACGAATCAAAGAGATTTCCTGTTCGAGCGCGGATGGATTCGTCTATGCGACAGAGTTATCTTCTATCGTTCGAACGGAGGAAAATTGGAGACTTTCTCGACCGTTTTTTTTTTTTTTTTTTTTATTCTTTGCGAGAAAAATTTAACGCGTTTAAAAAATGACACGCGAATGAACGAAATCAAAGGAAAGGAATTGATCGAACTTTCCTTTCTTTTTTTCTTTTTATAAAAAAGATAACGATGAAACGCTTATCCTTCGAATCAAAAAACGACCCGATCCATGTCGATTTAATAATCGATATTCCTCGCCTTTCCTCGCAAAGTTCGATCGTTCGAGAAATCAAAATCACCGGCAGTGCGTAAATTAGGTCAAGTTAGGAGGAGGACGAGCAACGTTTGAACGTTATGAAGGAATATTAAAAAAAGAAAAAAGAGAGAATGACAGAAGAACGGAAGTAGGGGGTAACGAATAAAAAAAAGAAAAACCGAGAATTCTTCGCTTCATCGAGAGATTGTCTCTGATCGATACTCGCTGCTGATCTTATCCATTCCATTTTCGAAATTCTTCTCGTCTCGTCTCTTGCTTCCCTTCCTCTCTTTTCTCTTTTCCTCGCATCTCATCGCTCTTTGTAAATATCATTGTCGCGCGCTGTAAAAAAATTGCTTTTGATTTTTGGCTGCTTGAGCTTGGCTCTCGAGCGATGCTGGCTCACAACGATGAATCACTATCACCTCTTCTTGGAGAGATGAAATCAAAAAAAAAAAAAAAAAAAAAAGAAAAAGAAAAGAAATCTCAAAATCGTAACTCGTATCCCGTGTCAAGAACGAAAAGACCATCGGTCTGTCTAATAATAATGCGAGAATATCGATCAAACATTTATTAATTCTATCCCCGAGCATCATTTTATCCAGTATCGCTCATCGAACCGAAGGGTTGAAAAAGTAGGGGCAGGGACAGGGGGGCGAGAACAGTTTCAAAGAGGTTTAATCGCGGGATTAGTCTCGTAACCGTGAATCGTGTATACTCCGTGATATTCAACCTACTTTTTCCTCCTTCATTCGCTTCTTTCTTATACCCTTTGCTGCTCGAAATATCACGAATATAACATTTATAATACGTTTCGCAATTTCCAACTCTTATTCGTCAACACTTTTCGACACCGAATCGATCGTCAAGCGTCGAATTCTTCTTCGAAGAATGGATTACACAATTTCTTCCATTTTCGATATTAATAATTTAAAACTATTAGTAGTTTGAATACCAGAGATTAGAATAACACCCAAAGAGAATATTACGAGTACTGTAAAGTTCATGAAACACGGATCGCTTCCCGTCGAACGAGTAATTTATCAGTTCCGCTCAGTGGAAAGGGTTACGAGGATAAAGAGGACTCTTTGAAATAGCGCCTAGGGCAACGTGGCAAAGGGTAATAGTTTTGCAAGTAGTTGATCGATTAATTAAGCTTCTCGAGCCTTGTCTCGAGAGAGAGAAGAGGATTTAAACGAATCGATAAAACGCTACTCATCTACGATAATCACGAAGTCGATAAACGAGGCACGCACTGCACTCGAAACTCTGCTTTCGTCCTATCTATCTATCGTATTGTACTATGATTATTTTTTTTCCCTTTTCTTTTATTCTTTTTTATCTTTTTATTTTTTTTTTTTTTATTTATTTTTTTATTTATTTATTTATTTATTTTTTTTTTTACTTTTTTACTTTTTTTCCCTTCAAACTCTGTTTAGAATAAACATCCTTCCGCGTGTTCTTAATCGAACCCTTGCCTTAGGCTTATCGTCGTGGTATATGTATACCGTGAATTGCGTTCGTCTATCTCCCCCCTCCTCCCCCCTGAGTGAATACACTCGTCTCACAAGTATGCACGTACGTATACAGGAGTACGTATTCGCGAAGGGAACAGGATGAAATAATAATCGATCGGCAAATCGGATGAATACGAGAAAAAGAAAAAAAAAAAGAAAAATATGGATACTTTTTGATCGGTACTCGATAAAATGGAATTTCTTTTCACGTTTGATGATCCTGATCATCTTCCACATTCGTTCGACATTTTCTTCGTGGATAATCGTCGTGGACGAAGAACGAAACAACGATGAATTTCAATGTTAACAGGAGTTTTTCTAACGAACTAATATGCACGATCGAGATGATTCGTTGAATGAAGAGTAACTTCGACGACAAGTTTTTCTTTCCTTCCTAGAAATGTGACGAACTGTGCGGGGAGATTCAATAATAACTGCGAATCAACAAACTACGTACTCGAAAGTATTGTCCGTGAAGCAGATATTCGAGAATTTTTGGTGTTCGTAGACCAACCAACCTAGAAATGACCGATTTCGAGTTGGTGGTCGAGTAGTGTGATGATCGACGATGATCCTATAAAAAAAAGTAACGACGAAACGTCACGAGGTTACTGTTCCTACAAAAAGGAAACGCCCAGGATAAAGGGTTATAGATTACGCGATAATCAAATAATAGCAAACGTAGCGCTACGCTTTTCTCTCGAGTCTTCCTATTATCGATTAGTATTATTAGTCCGCGATAACTCGATATGACAGGTTACTATGTTTGGCCGCTTCTAGGTTTTCTTAGATATACGTTTTTTTTTTTTTTTTTTTTTTTCCTATCGCCGCTACACGTTCTCATCACATCCCTCGGGAATTGGCATCGGTTCAAGCTGTCCCGCGAAAACCCACCTCGCCCTTTTATAAAACGTTAAAATATCCTTATCCTAATCGTTCTTTAAATAAAGCGGTAAATATATAGTCGATAAATAGACCCTTCCTCTCCGGAATGAAAACGCTATATTATTAATGGTAGACACCACTGCCTACTTTGAATCATCGAAATGGCCGCGCGTCTCGAGAAGAACACTAACTAGACCCTAAGAATATTACAAAATGCTCGTGAATCTTTTGATTTCTTCTTTTTTTTTTTTTTTCGTTTTCTTTTCCTTTTTTTTTTTTTTTATTCTCTTTCTTTAATAACGATCGCGTCCACGACACAGCTTGAACGTGCCCCGAGCACGATGAGATGGATCCTATAATAGTATTCGAAATCCTTTTTTTTTTTTTCTTCCAGGCTTATCGATCGTTCTTGATTTTTCTACTTGTCGCCCCTACTCGACTACTCGAAGACTACTTTTCCTCCCTAAGGAGGGATTCTTCGGCCTCCTTTCGCCTCGCCTTCGCTTCCTTCTTCGCCCTCTTCTTCTCCTCCTTGGCCAGCTTCTTAGCCTCCTTCTGCCTTGTCTTCTCCGCCTTCTCCTCCTCCTTCTGACGAGCCTTCTCCGCTTTCTCTCGCTCCTTCTCCCTTTCCTTTTCCTTCTTCGACTTCTGGATCTCTTGGACCACCGACAACTTCGGCGCCGATTGAGGCCTCTTCGACGTGGACTTCGTCGATGACGAGGACGTCGAGCTGGACACGTTGCTCGAGTCCCTGGGACTCGGTGACGCTTCCAGTTGAGTCACAATTTTTTGAGCACATCTGGAGGGCGCGAATAAAACCGTTAAAGACGACGAAATATAAATATATATATGTATATATATATATATATTTATAAAAATCCAATTTAATTTACCACCTTATCCTAGTGGATGCTTTTCCAGCGCGATAGTCTCTTTGGAATTCCTTGATAGGCGGCAATCTACGATCCCGATTTTCCCTCATCACCTCTTCCTCCTCGGCGACCTGTTGAACCGGATCTTGATACTCCTGATTAGATACAATTAATACAAGAATGCGAGATTAACGATTTTAATAATAGTTCACTTAGGATTCTTAAGACGAGCTCTTAACGGACCTGAATTCTCATTTTCATAGATTGCGTCTGGGAGCGTCTCAAAGTCGCGCCGGAAGGTTGCCTCACCCTCGTAGGTTTCCCAAGATTCGAACTTCCCGTGCTACTCGCAGAGGACGAACTCGAGGAAGACACGGAAGACACTCCTGCAACGCGAATGAAATAACGTTTCATCACGAGTGGATCAAACGAGTTTCGCCATTTTCCTCGTTCAACGAACCGGAAATGGAGGATGAACCGCTCGCCATAGAGTAGAGGGAGGCGGATGCCGGGACGCTTCCAGCGACCCATCTTCCACCGGGTCCAGTCACTCCAACGGGCACTCCCGTCCCCATATTGTACTCCGAGGCGCTTTGCGGCAGGACCCACGACTTTCCTGACATCGAGTACTGTAAAATATCGAGCGAACGATCGAGAAGATTTGTCGTGAAAAATAAAAAGAGGAAAGAGGAAGGGGCACGCGTTAAATTTCGTAGGAGGGCAGCGTGGCTCCAAAGTGTTCAAAAGTGACGTTGAAAAATTTGCTTTGAACTTTCATCGAAATTTAAACGTCGAATTATTCACGGATCGTGCCTCGTGCACAGGGAGAATTGAAATTTCGCGAGATTAATCGCAGGATTGGCGATATTTATTAAATACCGTTTCGAAAATAGTCGTGTCGCGCGAGGGGGCTATTCGACCTCGCAGCCAAGGCGACGAGTGGTTTCCGAGCTCGCTCCAATTAACGACAATTTTGCACTCGTGTGCGATCACATCGACGAGCACGAATACCACGGTTATTCCGGTCGCGTTTTCTTCTTTTTTTTGCATCTGTGATGAAGAAAAAAAAAAAGAAAGGAAGAAAATCGCGCCTCCAAGTGATCGCAAGTAAGATGCAACGCGTCGTCGAGCGTCCCTCGAGGGGGAGAAACGAGAGGGTGAGAGTTGCGGTGATTAAAAAAAGCTGTGTTGATTATTTGCACTACTTACGTCCCGTGGGATGAGGGTTTGTTTCAAACGTAGAATCTTTGCTCTGCATATCACGCATCTCAAAGGTAAGAGCCTCTGCGACACGGCCATTTGTATCGTCTTGACGAAGCAACGCCTGTGTGATCGAAGCAGAGAATATAGGGTAATAACCAAATTGTGTAAATTGTTCGATCCAAAGAAAAAAAAAATATCTTTTACCTGCAAACGACCCGATGACCACACGGAGCTGTTTGCATCGTGGCTCTGGCGTTCACACATATCACGCACTATGAGGGAAGAAAGTGAAATTTTAAAATTAATATTCCATCTCGACTAACCGTAATTAATTAATTAATTACTTAATTCCATCTTTCTCGACTCCCATGTTTGAGATCCACGCGACCGATTCGCGCGAGGGGGTGAAAGATAAAATCCGATGAAATCCCTTCCGGGAGTTTCCGACTGGTCAGCGGAAATTTTCAACGACTAAGCGAGTAACAACTTCGAAACAGCAGGGGATCCCTATCTTCCTCAGGATAATAATTCTTCCAAGGAAGAAATGGAGTTTCATCGTAAGGATTCAAATGGATGGAATTTTCATTACACGGATGTTTGAAAGACAGCAACAAAACTCGAACAAGAATTTTTTCTTTTTTCATCAATCGATTTATTCCAACATTTTTAATCTAAACTACAGTACAGTAGTCCCTTGACCATATCTAAAACGATCCTACTTATAACTATCTCATAGTTATGGTGAACCATGCTGAATAAGTGTTGTCGTTCCTAGTTTGCTGGAAAAAAAAAAAAAGAAGAAAAAATACATCATACCATTCAGTATCATTCCGATCAACTCGTTAAATTCTCATCGACGATATATTATTTTTTTTTTCTTTTTTTTTTCACGTACCCGAACTTCCTCCACCAGCACCAGCTTTCGCTCCAAAGTTAACACCCATGCTAACTCCACCTTCCATACCACCTCCCATACCTCCTGGCAAAGGATTTTGCGCCTCTCTCCTACTTCTCACTTGAGGCGGCCTATTTGGCACATCGCCTCCCATCTCATTATCCATGTCGTCCATACTTCCTTGCATAGAACTTTGAGTCGTTCTCTTGCTCCTCAACTGAGACGCGCCACCTCCCATACCACCTCCAAAGCTACCTCCTACGCTACCTCCCATTCCTCCTCCCATGTCGCCCATACCACCCGGCATAGGCATATTTTGAGCCGCTCTCTTGCTCCTCAACTGAGACGCGCCAGCTCCCATACCACCTCCAAAGCTACCTCCCATGCCACCTCCCATTCCTCCTCCCATGTCACCCATACCACCCGGCATAGGCATATTTTGAGCGGCTCTCTTGCTCCTAGATTCCTCCATATTCGACGACCCTTGATCGATCATATCCTCTGGAGGAGGCCCCGACGGAGGAGGCCCCGATGGAGGAGGTCCGGGCGGAGGTGGGCCGTGCGGAGGTGGGCCGTGCGGAGGTGGACCGTTTGGAGGGCCACCATCGTCAGGGCTACGTTTCTCCCGACTGCTGCTATCGCTAGAAATGCTCGAGTATTCGGACGACAATGCTCCGACCAACTAATTTAAAAGTTATTTTTAAGTCGAGTTCCATTTTTATCGGGAATAATTATTGATAATATTATAAAGAAGGATTCGAGAAGCGAAAGCTTCGATAAATAAAAAGGTGTTGCTTACGGAGAGGCCGAGGAGAGCGATGAAGAGAAGAAGATGCTTCATGTTCACCGACGTTTTGACACTGGACACTGTCTCACACGGATATTTAATCCCCTCTGGATAAATAGTTACAATTCGCGACGTAATTGCGCGAAAACTGGAGGTGGCAATGGTGAGAGGTTAATAAGGGAATCGTTCTCATTGCCACCTTCTTGCCTTCCATCGTATTTGTATTTTTTTCATTGGTGATCGCAACTTGTATTTTTCCTTTGTTTTTTCGCCTCGGGAATAACAAGCGGAAACAATGGAAGGATTTTTCGTGACCGTGGTGGTTCTTCTTCGAGGTGTTGTACCGGAACGAAGATGGACGGATGATAATTGGTGTCGTGCCGTCTAGTTATCACCCGTCCAATCGTTTATCTAACGCTCTTTTAACAACAAATTTATCTTTTCCCAGGAAGTCAATTTGCTGGTAATGACAACAATGCCGAGTGATTTTTCAACTTACGTAACCATTTATTAACTCGAACAATTTGTTGTTTAATAAGAAATATATCAATCGATCTCCTCCGATCCATCTTTGTTGTTTCGCATCGTCAAATATCTCTTCGAGGATCGAGTCGTGCACTGAACGTAGCAATCTTCGAACGATATATTCCAATCGGCAAACGAACGTGCCCGCATCCAAGCAACAATTAAAACAGAAGATGTTCGTTCGATCGTTCAAGGATTATCTTGCCAAGGATTATAATCGGCACGACCACCAAGTAGCGTCGATTAAATTGGAATATTAATAGCCGCTCGAGGGTGGATAGACACGTCAGGAGTCGCAGGGTCGTCGTAGCTACCACTTTGTCAGCTTCGTTAATCGACTTTCGCGAGCCATTGAACAAGCCTATTCGCTCGGAAATTGTAATTTTTCTGGACCAACGACTGTCTTCGAAAGAAAGGCTTGCCTCTCTTGTGCAACCTCCAGTCCATTTGACCGTCGAAAATTGCACCCTCTGTGTGTGTGTGTGTCGGACCCCCGTTCGTAGCATTTAATTTCATTCTGGGTCACTGTACTCCTTCCATCTCATTTTCTTTCGTGATCGCGAAAACAAGTTTTTAAAATAACTTAGCGAGAATTAATTTTTACCAGAATCAAATTTTTTTCCCCTCCTGGAAAATATTTTCCACGCGAAAAATTCGAATCCACCTTAACCAGCTCTCTATTAATCCTTGGATCTTGATGAATCAAAAAAGAAAAAAAAATATCGAAAATCTCGATTGCCGAACCGAGATTAATTCCACGATAATTCGACGCCACCTGGAATTATCAAGAGATTCCTTCCCTTTCTTCGTTCTCTTTTCTTCGAAATCTCATTTCCACCCCCGCCAATCAACGCCCTTCTCCTCCTTTGGCGAAAACGACGAATTAGCCTTTGGATTGTGCTTTTTGTCCCAGCCGGCGAGGTAACGAGGTTACCTCGAGCAACCTCGAAGAAAAAAGAAAAGAGTCGAAAAATGCAGCTGACCTCGCCTGGGCTGGGACCCCAACACTGGGACCCCACGTTCCACGGGATGATAATTAAATCGAGGGTAACCTTCCAACGGTAAATTTCTTTCGTTCCACGGCAAGATTAAGTGGTAATTCCCTCCTCCCCTCCCTCTCTGTGATTTTTCATCCAATCGAGATATCCGATTCCAGCGAGGCCAATTCAACCGAGAATCCTACCAATCTTCGATCGATCTTTAAAGTAATCGCAAGAAATCGTTTACTCACCTCGTCTTCTTGAGAGGAGGCTAATTCCGGCTCGTTTTTCTCGAGCTTGGTCAACAGCTTGTCCTGAAAACAGAAAATATATATATCCGATGAATGAGATTTCGTTGAGAGTAACAGGTTAATCGATCGATTCTTTTTTTTTTTTTCTTCTTCTTCTTTTCCTTCGTAACCGAGACTTTTTCTTGGAAACAATTGTCTTGAAAACAATTGTAATACCGTAATATAATACCTCAAATAATAGTTTCCGATCCTATTCTTACACGTATATATCGATCCACGTGTTACGACTTTGTAGGTTTCTTTATTATTCCCTTGTACACGAGCTTTTTTTTTTTTTTTACGCCAAATGATTGAATTCTATCTTGAATCTTTAGAAGATTTTCTTTTAAACCATCAAGAACATTATATATCGTTATTATTATCCAATAAATCTCGATATCTTGATTATTGCTATATAAATTATCGCATCGATCAAAAGTAACGGACTCGAACGATCGAGAAAACAAGGATTCACACCTTGAAAAGAGTGAAAAGGGGTATCGACTCGAGTCGATAGCGAACAGATCAGAATTAAGAGATTTGATTCGAGATGGTCGACACGGTGCGTCACACGGTGAAAAGTTGCTGTATCAATGTTGCATCGTGGAGGGGATATTTTGCGCATCATCCCCCTAATATCCGGAAAGCACCCTGACCCAGATACACGTACGTGCGGAACAACCGGACGATCCTCCGGATCATCCGGCATCGGGTGAAAACACACATCGTTTCGCGACGTCGAGTTTCATTCGAGTTCGCGAGGATCGCGGCAACTAGAAGATCGAGGAGGAAATACATACGGCTTGATTTCGAAAGAAAAAATTCAAATTATTTATGCTCCTATACTGTTTGTCGTACGATGGCAGTCTCGTTATTTCGATCGATTAAACTCCTCAAAATCTCGGCAGTCGTCGGGATAATGGAATTACCACGAGGAAATTGTGCAATCTCTATCCGATACACCGTTCCTAGATTTCCAATCGTAGCGGCAAGATATCCATCAAGCATTCGATTAGTTCCCAATTTATTGCTTTCAATTTTCTCGATAATTGTTATAGCACGTATACCAAAACTCTGTCTATGCTAGGCGAATTTTTTATTTCTATTTTTCTTTTCCAGATATTTTCACACGGAAAAATCTGAATCTCGTCTGGAATATAGTCGACGAGAGACTTTCCTTTTTTTTCGAGTTTAATGATACGGAACCATCTTGTAAAAGTAAATGCCTCCAAGTTCGTGGAAAAAGTGGCGTTATGCTCGAATCGTCCGAGGCGATGCAAGAGATTCCAACTCTCGATTTCTGTCAGTTTACTCTTGCATCTGGTTCGAATCCGATTCTTTCCGTTAGCAGTTCCGTTGTTTTCGAATCATTTCATCTCTCCGATCGGATGACATGATACCATTGTTTCTCGCTTCTGTACTGTGCCGCATAATCGTCTTTAAAAGAGGTAATTTTCGATCAAGTTTATCCTTTTGAGTGATTTTTTTCTTTTTTTCTTTTTTCTTTTTTTTTTCCTTCTTTATATATAATTTTCGAACGAACGAACGAACGATGCTCGATCATTTATCTGGCCCGCTTCCTATTTTATTTGACGGATAGTCAATCAAGTTTCTACGGTTGATTGAAAATTAAAAACGGCTGAAAGCGACTGTGAAAGTGCCAGAAATATCTGCACCCTTTGTTCTCGAGAAAGAGTACTTTCGTAATGCGCGCGTATTCGGAACCAAAGAGACGGATAATGGCGCTATTTAAATTTTAGGGGATCGCCTTTGCCGACCTCCTTTCCATTCAAAATCCTGAATGCTTCCATTCACGAATAGGATTTCGATGTATGTGGAAATTCCACAGCTTTTTTTTATTTTATTTTTTGTACACGACGCGGAAAATTCTACTCGCGAATACGAGTTTTCCAGTTTTTAAATATCCAGAATTATTCCCTCTTCTTTCGCGACTTGTATTTATCCGCCATCGTATTATCGTAATTTTAATCGTCGTTCGTAAAGAGAATGTAATTCGATTCGAGAACGACGATTTATTCGGCCATAAATTATCCACGCATCGTAGCACTTTCACTTCGAACGCTTCTACTTCTTCAAAGTGTGATATCACGATATACCAATCGGAAATCAACGGATTGAATGGATTCACTGTGAATTAAAAACACAGCCGTCGGTTCTTTCATACCACGTTTAAAAAACGGAACGAATCGCGGAATAGCAAACGCGCGTGTTATCGGCCACGCGACGACAAACAATACTTTGGCGTTTCATCAAGCAAGATCACGGTTATCGAGCCGCCATTACCGTGTCGCATTAGATTAACAGCATGTAATCGATACCGCGACAGCTCGCTTCCCCGAACCTGTTTCGCCTTCGACTTTTACCAACAACAACGCTTATAGTCGGCTACACATACGCGGCAACAATACCTCACGGTTGATCAGTCCCGTGGAACGCTTTCGAACGTGCTTTCTCCCTTATAAGAAATAAATCATTCAACCTTTCCTCGAAGTTCGAGTATCCTTTCATCGAGTTGTCGGGAATTGGGATCAATTTCCATCACGACGAAGGAAAGGTTCATCACGTTTCGTAGATCGAAGACAAAACAACGGAATAGAATTTTCGTCCATTCTCCTCCGTTTCGTTTCGATTATTTCTCTTCGTAGGTAATCCGTCCGTGGGTCGATGTTGGACAAACGTTTCGTTATTCGTTTCGAATAAAAAAAATTTAATCGCCGACGGGCACGATACCCGAGGAACGGGAAGGGAGAGGGGAGGGATCACGTGACAGAGATCGGCGTAACGAGACGACGCGGAAAGGGGGGGGGACTCCTTCACTACTACTATTACTGCTACTATTGCCTCTTTGTCCTCGGCGGAAATTACGTAGGTCGAGCGAGGCGGCGATAAGCGACGCCTGGCAAAATTTACCAGGTCATAAAGCGTACCACCGTACACGTAACTGATTTACGTTCCGTTCTCGCGTAGAATTCCGTTTCGCGAAAAGCCGACGGGTTATGGTTTCCAGTCTCGGGTATTAAACCAAGCCAAGTGACGCGGAGTGTGAGTTTCCTTCCTCTCTCCCTTGTGACGAAACGCAACAACGAGAGATCCGACGGTGGATGTATGTAAATCGCTTGGCGATCGTTAATCACGATAACAGTCGCGGATATATATCATCCGACTTGCTCCGATAAATCGCCTCGGCGAATTCGTTATTTTCCACTCTTCGGTGGAAGAAATCCTTCGAAGACGGATCGTCCAAGAGAGAAGGGGGGAGAGAGTAGTTGAATTTCACACGAGCACGCGACATCACGTGCACGTGTTTTTCAGGTTCAACGACGAAGATCGTTGCTCGAGGTCGAGTTTTTTTACGTTTTCTTTTTTCTTTCTCTCTCTCTCTCTCTCTCTCTCTCTCTTTCCCATTCCAGGTGAGAATGAGCTCCACGCCACGCCGTTCCCATCCGGCGTCTGCTCTTACTGCTGCCCCATCGACGTGAATCGGGACATAGAGTATCTTCTGTACACCAGGTAAGAAGAAATTATAGAGGAATATTTAGAGATTAGATTTGACAGGGTGGAAATTTCACAGGAGGAATCCAAATTGCGGAGCAACGTTGAATATTTCGGACCCGTATTCGTTACGGAGGAGTAATTTCAACGACAGATATCCCACCGTAATTTTCATCCACGGATACAGCGAGAGCGCGACGGGAAGAAGCGCCGTGGCAATACGTGACGGTACTTTTACAGTTATTACTCATTCATTTAATCACGATCCAACGAATTTTTAATTAAACTCGTATATCTCGTACATTATTATCATCGGCCGATTATCTCGTTCGATTAATCCTTAAAGAGAAACGTTAAGAAAGAAAGGTTCTTCGGTGAAAAATAATTTTCCCCGATTGAGAAAATCCGTTTAAATTTTTACGAATGCAAGATCGTATAAAATCTCCTACTGGAATATCTCGCAATACGCGTCATCAGATTAGTCGAATAGCGACACCGACTCGAGCGGACAGGAAGCGATGGAACTAGGCTGAGGACATCGGTAGGTGCAAGCCTATCTATTGACAAGCCGTCGCAAGACATTTTGACAGAATGATGAATCGATCTCGAATCGTGGAAAGTTGGCTAGTTCGGAAACTTCAACGCGGATCCGTATTTTCCTTTCAACACGGCCATTCCTCGATCGCTCTAAGTTTCCGACGAAAACTTTTCACCGCTCCACCGTTCCCATCGCGCTATCGATTCGACGCTTCAACTCGAAATCCGTGGAAATAAAAAAAATTGCCAATTTCCCCTCGAAATATCCACGAATTCGTTTCAGTCTATCTGAGACGAGGGGAGTACAACGTGATTCTGGTGAACTGGGCCAAGTTGGCTGGCCTGCCGTGGTACGTGACAGCGGTTCGAAACACTAGAATAGTCGGGCCTCAGGTCGCCCGCCTGGTCGAATGGTTGGCCGCTCGGGGGGCCGTGTCTCTGCCCGACTTGCACGTAATTGGTTTCAGCCTGGGGGCCGAGATAGCTGGTTTCATGGGGAAAGCTTTGTCCCCGCGGAAGGTGAGCAAAACGGTTATCCAAAACTTTATCCTTTTCTTCTTCTTCTTTTTTTTTTTTTTTCAAACGAATTACTTAAAGTTTAAAAATCCCTTAAGGTGGGCAGGATCACTGGGTTGGACGCCGCCTATCCTCTCTACATGAACACGGGCAACGAGGGCCACTTGGCGAGGACGGACGCCACGTTCGTGGACGTGATCCACACGGATGGGGGGATCCTGGGTTTCCCAAACCCATTGGGCCACGTCGACTTCTATCCAAACGGTGGCAAACCCGACCAACCCGGTTGCAATCTGGAGAACGCGTTTCAGAGAAGCTTGTCGAGATTCATCAATCAGTACAGTAAGAAACTTTTCTATCACAAACGTGAGCGATTTCGAGGCACTCTTTCTCTCACATTTTCTCTTCTCCTCGCAGTCGCGTGCGGCCATCATCGCGCGTGGATGTTCTACGCCGAGTCAGTGACGAATCCTTTCGGGTTCCCGGCCAGTCGATGCGCGAAATGGCGTCCGGATATCAGGGTGGATTGTAGGTGGACGCCCCAAGTGTTGATGGGTCTCGCCGTGGATCCCAGAGCGAGAGGGAAATTTTATTTGAGGACGAATGCGCAGCCACCCTTCGCGAGAAACGCGACAGGATACGTATGACGTTTTAATTTTGGATGAACCAAACTATTGCACGTATCTGATATCTTTCGGGAGGGATACGGATTGAAAACGGAGGAATGAAAAAGGAAGAAGAGGCTGTGGAACGAGGATTTTATAACGAGGAGGAGAAAAAGTGAAAATTGTCACGTTTTATTAGCTCTGAAGAAAAAGGGGAAAATTTGGCGACGAGGTTAATGTTGTCCGCGGTGAATTCGACTAGGATCGCATAGTTTCCCTCCTTTACGACGATTGATAGCGGGCCACCAACTTTGGGCCAACAATTTATTTATAATAGCCTTGCCTCGAAATATGGAAATTCCAAGGACCAACCTCTTTCGAGCAATAACTTTTAACATAAGGATAACTCGTCGGGGATAATTTTATCAAGCATTTTGATCAACCGGGTTGAACAACGAGAAAAAGAGAATCTGGCCGATCTCCAATATTGCCTCGAGCTTATACTTTTTCGTCAAAGAATCGAAAAACCTGCAATTCAAAAAAGAGGCAAGTTTTCGAAGATGTAGGGGAGAGAAATGCGCCAGTTTCTCGTAGATAAAATTATTACGAAAAAATCAATCGAGCAGGAGTTTTTTCGTTTCGAGTAGAAAATCAAAAGTTTCACGCGAAATGTTTATGTCAGAAAAAGAGAGAGAGAGAGAGAGAGAGATTTCTATGAAACTACGAGCTACGTTTTTTGTTCGTTCTTTTTTTTCCTTTATCAATACAAGGAGGGCGGTTTACAACAATGGTGGACGTGCATTTGCGCTCAGAGACAATGCTTTTCTCCTCATCGCCAGCTTTCTCCATCTTCGTTTCCCATCCAAAGTGGATGCAGTCGTCGTTTCCACGCCCAGAATAGGGAACCGTGTCTCGTATTCGTCGCTACACTTTTTCGATAATGAAACGATGAGGCGAACCGAAGATAGACGTTCTCGTTACTTACGAGAACAATTCAATTTTTTCGAAGAATTTATTATTTAAAGCGATGAATGAGATAAAAAAAAAAAAAAAAAAATTGAGAAATCTGGAACAAATGCCACACGCCACTCTAAAATCCAAATGTTTACCCGTAAGCGCATCGAATCAGTTGGTGTACTATCTGGTATTTTCGAAACGGATCCAAAGTTCGAGTGGTTGTAGTGCTCTCGAGAAGTCGATAAAACCTAGAGAAGAGAGAGAGAGAGAGAGAGGGGGTGAGACTTTTGTAAGTAAAGTTACGTGATCTAAAAACGATCATATTGCGAAATTCGTGAGATTTAACGTTAAACGTTAAATAAAGAAAGAAAGGATCCTCGCGCAAAAAACCGAATGATCGAAAGGAATCCAATCGAACTCGGGACTGGGTGTATCTCCTTCGAGGTTTATCTCTCGAGGATGCACTTTAGATGAATCGTAAAAGACTGCATAAATGCGATAGAAATGCAATTTCGTGGAATCGATGAAATGATTTATTTAAAGTGCCCAACTCCTCTTGTCCTCTCCTTTCCTTTTCTTTACATCTTATCTTCGACTTTGTTGAATTTTTTCTTTTTTCCTCTTTGCCACCGTTAATTTTCCACGACGAGGGCTTCTTTTTTTTTTCCAACGGAGCCGAGTCGGTGCGCGCGCAAAATCTTTCAATCCTCGCCGAGAGACACAGGGATTGGCGGTCAATCAACCCGGCAAGTACGTTAAAAAATTCACCACTGACAGGTCGATAACGATCGACGACCTATGGGCAGGGTTATAGATGACCCTAGTCTTGAAAGACCACCGGGTGTAAAGGCTGGACACGAATGCGCCACGTTTCCTCTCGGTATCGTGGAAATCCCACGAGTGTCGTGGCCAGCTGCGTTCCTACCTCGTATCTGGAAAATCGAGTTTTGCGCCAGAAACCGATTACAAAAAGCGGAATGAACGGATCTTTGGATTAAACTTTCCTCCACAATGCGATGACAACGCTAATATTCGAAATTTAACATCTTGCTTCTCTCTCCCTCTTTCTCTCTCGTCTCTTTTTATTATTATTTTCGAAGCCTGGAGTAAGAAAAAACTTTTTTTCGCTCCAAGACGTAGCTCGTTCGTTCCATAGAACGAACCTGTATAGTCGATCTCGCGTTGAAATTCAATTTTCCGAAACGGATATCGTCGCTTTCGGAACGAAGCGCGCGAAGAGAGGCGACGATAAGCGAAAGAGAATATCTATGAGAGGCGAGTAAATCCAGCGGGGTGGGTGTAGTTTTCAAACGCGTTCTACACTTTCGCGTTTAACGAAACGTACCCCAGAGAGGGTAAATGTCGCGCACGTTGAATCTCGCGCTTAACCTTCCGCCCTTTCGTAGTAATTTCAAATTTATTTCGAGCTCATAGCGTAATAGGACGACAAGCTTGAAACGCGAATTTCCAGCGTAATTTCTTACACGGAAATTCCACTCGATCGATAAAGGAGCGAGCCTGTGCATTTTCCTAAATGCGCTCAGTTGTTAAGACTTTCCGTGTGTTATGTATATATATATATATATATATATATACATGCATACATGTGTATGTGTGTAACGAATCGTGGCGGTTCGATCCGCTTGCCGATAGAGAAGACACGATTATTATACGAAAGAGTTATCGCGCGAAAGTACGAATTTCATCGGGGAATTTCTCGCCGAATTGACTCCAATGAGACGTAACGTTATCGGGTTCTTTTTACCACCCCGTCCCTGTCAGTGACAGCGGCGAAATCGATGGGACGAAATAAAGTCTGGTTGGGCGCAGTCTCGGCGGCATTCAAACAGGGGCCCCCGATATCGGGGCTTCGATATCCCCCCCCAGCATCATCATCGATAAAGGTGCATCGTTCCCCGTTGAAATAGAAAACGAAAACGCACGGCTCGGTCTCGGCTCCACCCCTTTCGTTCCCTTTGTTCTCGCCTCGCTTCGAATCACGAACGATACCACTCGATGCGTCGCGTATTCCTCCCTCCTTGCTGTATTCGTATTACTTTTCGTTTCAGGTGCACTTGTACCTGTTGTTGTTATTCCTGGAACAACTGTTCCAAGGGGTTGTCCACGTTCTTTAACCACGTTTCCCGTTGCACGTCAACGCTCGTTTCAACGATGAGGATGATGTCGTATCGTTTCTCGAAGATCCTTTATTTGCTCAAGAAGCAGAAGAATCGCCCTCAAGAATTTTCACGATTCGTGAGATCGATGTGGGTTAACAGGATGGAAAAGAATTAATGAAAACTCGTAGCGGGAATAGATAGAGGTCTCCTTCTCTCTGCAAAATTGCAACACGTGCGCGGCTACGTGGATGACGTCACGCGATTATTTCCGCGAAGGGGGAACGCTTACGCAGCCGGCAGTGACGCCCAGGGCGGTAACGCCTCATTAACGCCTTCCATAAATGACGCGATCCTTCGTCACGCGCCACCACTCGTTTCATTCTTCCTCCCTTTTTTTTTTTTTTTTCTTATTCCTCTTCTCTGATTTTCCATTTCTCCGATTCCATTCACATTCACCACCCACATTCCGACGAGAAGAAATTATTAAACTTGTTCAACGCGTTACCTCCAGTTTCGAGCAGCGAACTACAGGTCTCTGCAGTTCTATCAGCATAAACCAGCATCTCTCGCCCGGAAGAGAGATGAAGGTTTATGGAGCTGGAAGCGGCAGCAACTACCCCCAGAGACTTGTTAAGCCCTCGCTACGCCGTTAGTTTCCTTTCCGGAGGCTGCTGTTAAATGGGCCTTGGGGGGAGAGGGAGAAGAGGGAGGAGGGGAGATAAGATTTCTTCCCTCTTCGAATTCGATCCGCAAATTTCGTATTAAATTAAACAAAGGGAAAGAAAACTGGGAGCCGAGGGGAAGAGGAGGGGAAAAACGACGCCGAGAGATGCTCCCCTCCCTCCTTCCGTGGCGCGAAACCTCATTAAGCCTCGAACACAGCTCAAAGTATCATGGCCATTCTATTTTTGCGCCGCGGTTCGTCCAGAATCTCGCCCCGGGGTAATTAAGCTCTTCGTTTCAATTGTTCCGGCTTCCCACCTTTCCCAATTCTTTTTTCCACCCCAATTCTGTTCTCCAACCCCTTTTCATTATCCGAACAGGCGTCGAACTCGCGGCGGGATACAAATCGGGATACAAATTTCCGATTTGAAGGATTTTCTCGTTTTTCAATCTCTCGGCCGCCTCTTTTTCCTTTTTTTTTCTTTCTTTCTTTTTCCTTTTCTCCTCCTCCCAAAAAAAGCTTTGTATTCCTTCAAAACCAGATTTCTGGATCGCGGTTAATTCGAATCGGTTTTCGATATCTTCCATTCGTTTCCACGGCCTCAGAAATTGCGCCGCTCTGAATAATCGCCATTTTCTCTCTCTCTCTCTCTCGTTTCTTCCTCGTGTTTCAAACACCCATTTCGCCTCCATTTTCCTCTCTACTTTCTTTCCATTACGGGGAAGGGGGGAATTATAGGCGCGATACAACAGTGTCATTCATCGTTTGGAGATACAGCCGGACAATAGGGGAGGAGTCCACCGAGTACGCCGCACAACTGCACAGGAAGTCGCTCCTCGGCCATTAATGGTAACGGGGTGAGGGTGTATCGTCGCGGAAGCATCGAATTATGCCTTCCAGCTTCAACCAGCTTCCATTTACGCGATGCGCAATTATATCGATTTTATCTTCGACTTCTTTTCGCTCGTGTCTTAAGGAGGGCTTTCATAAAAATTTTAAAAACGTTTTAAAACGATTCTCGAAGCGAGCGAGCAGATTTGCCAAATTTCTTTGAGCGAAAATGGAATAAGATATACCAGAGGAAAGGTGAAAATTTAAGTAATTGGCGAAAGAATTTCAATCGGATTACAACCGAGTTTAAACAAGTTAAGAAGGGGATCAAGTCGTGTCCGGTGAAATTGTACGATTTCGATATCCTTGCGTTCTTCACGCGTTTACGTTTAATATTCTTCTGCTTTTGCTCGTGACGAGCTTTCCAAGTTTAATAATCCAAGTCGAATAATCGCTTTAAAACGAGATACTTTTTTTTTTTTTTGTAAAATTCGAAGCGCACTTTCACGATTTAAATCGCGATCCCGTGATTCAACTTTCGTCCACGCGAAAGTTAACAAAGTTTCCTTCTCTTTCTCGCTTCAAAAGCTGAAAAGCAACGAGAGAAAATGCGATTGATTTTCAACATTGCTGATTTTTAAAAATACACTTGATCCTACCGAGCAAGAGATATTCGATGTCTCTCTCTTTTGATCTTCTCGTCGTTAAAATTCAACAGGAGTAAGTAATAGACATTTTTTTGTTGAAAAAAGGTTGTAACGACATTCAGACGATCGTAACGAGTTATCATTCTTATGGGTCTAGTAGCGTTATCGCTTCACAGAGGTAGAGAGGGCGAGCGGGAGAGACAAATGGCGAACATTCTTTGCAACAACGTCGTTAATTTTTAAGATTACTTCAACGTCCAAGTGTACGGTCGAGAGCCTCTTCTTGAAGCTGAAGGGGTAGATCCGGCGGTAATTAGGCTTGTAAAATATTGTATAACCATCGAACCATCGTATCACGATGGAAAGGATAAAAAAAAAAAAAAAAAAANAAATTAAAAAAAAAAAAAAAAAAAAAAAAAAAAAGAAATATTGAAATTTAAAAGAGATTAAAGAGAATTTGAAAGATATATATGTCCGTAATTTTTTGCGAGATAAAAGAAGGAATAATAATAGAGGAGATGTAACGGAGGGGGACGAGAAAATTAATCTTGGAAGAGGAGATGCTCGATCGAAGGCGGCGCGAAACGCATGCGATATTCAACGAGTATCGAGAAAATGCAGCCCCGGGACGTCCGAGCAACAGTTTTTCTTTCCAAACAACCTCGAGTGTATTTCAGTCTGCTTGGAATACAATAAAAGAGGCAAGATCTTGGTTGGTCATCGCTTTAAAACAATAGCCCAGACGGCAAGCCAAGAAAAATGCAAGAGAGAATTTTTAAGACGCTCTCGAAAGTACGCGACACTTTATGACCGATCGATACCTTTCGCTTTTTATCTTACTTCTGGAAAAAAGTCGAGGAGCAACGTTCGTTCGTTCGATCGAAAGAAGAAGAATTCTATTTTCGATTATTTCGTCGAAATGAAATTAAAGAAAGAAAGAAAAGAGGGGAAAAAACACGTTTACGTCGATCGGTTATCGAGATAATCCTCGAAACTTGTGTCCGGAAAGTGAACAAGCCTCGTGTAATCTAACAGAAGCAGAAAGCTGCATCGATCGGCATTTCTAAGGTCTGCGCATTATGGGGGTTCGTGCGGTCGGTCTAATGGTATTATCAACCCTTAAAGCTGGACTGCTTTCAGGTCATTGGCCACTCGGTCATCGGTATATTCTCCTCTCTTTTTCTCCTCCCTCTTTTTCTTTTTTTTTTTTTCCCCCTTCTCCATTCGCTTCACTCTTCTTAATTAACTTGGTTTCATTCGTGGAAATGAACACGAAAGCGCTCTAAAAATGGCACAACCCACACGTGCATGATACTATACACCGGTTCATTGTCACAAAGGGAGTTCATTGGCGTCACCCGTGCGTTACGTAGTGGAAGAGATAAGGTGGCAATAGAATCGCTCTTGAAACCAGCTCGATTCCAATTTTCTTGCAATTCTAAAAATACGACCGAGAATGTACGAGCTGTTACATATATATATATACACACACACACACACACACGACTCGTGTGTAACGTACGCCCGAGTGTCGAGTATGTTAATTAAGAAAATTTCTATCCCTATCGTTGTCAAATTACAACGAGGGAACGAACGAAGGAAACGTGGTCACGCGATCGAAAGCTCGACACGAGGAGGGGGTAAATTTTTCGCGAAAAAAATGTATCTTAACGATTTTTGACGATCCACGGTCCAAGAGTATCCATAAACGCCATTTGTGATTCACGACTAAGATAATGACGTAAAACTTTTGTTTCGTCACAGAGAGAGAAAGAAAGAGAGAGAGAGAGTCGAAACATTTCCTTCGACGAATATCTCGAGTTCGTGACATCGATATAATATAAATATAACATAAACCGATGATTACGTACGAAACGATTGCCTGAAACGATGTCGAGAATTTGGAGAAATCGAAGAAACGGAAATGAAAAGTACAAAGAATAATTGATCCAATGGTATGGTTTCCTTTTTTTTCCTCTCTCTCTTTTTCTGTCCACGTGACATTCCGTCAGACCAAAACGAACGGCATTAAGGTTCACCTACACCGAACCCGATCCCGATCTTAACGCAAAGTTGGCGTGCGCCTTATCTGACGTCTAAGCACCCCGTTGAATTACGAAGCAAAGCAACAAAGGCTCGAACTTTGCCGTAAGTTTTTTACTTATCCACTTGTGGCCGCGCGTGTCGACAGTCAAGGTTGAGGTTGTTCTCTCTTTCCAAAACGATGCGAACTTGAGGACGATCGGAGGATAATTTCCGTATCTGTGTCTCTCTCTCTCTCTCTCTCTCTCTCTCTCTCTCTCTCTCTCTCTCTCCCTCGATCGAATTCACGCGTACAAGGTCAAAAGCTCGGACTTGGAGGTTTACCCGGCACGCGACCGAAATTTCAGAATATTTTAAAAAGCGGGGAGACCCCTCCCCTCCCCTCCCCTGACATTATTCTACCGATAATCTACCGATTCGGTGCAGTCATTAATGATACCTGGTTATTAGGGTCGCGCAGTTAATATCGCGATAGGGGGTTGAAAAATTCCAAGGCCTCCCCGATCGTCGTTTACCGGCACGCGAGTCAACGGGTCCGAAACATATTCCATATTCTCGTGTTTTTTTCCCCCCCAACGTTTCGTGACCGAGGTTTTGGGCGTGGTGCATCTCCAACCTCGCCTCCCCTTAGCACAATAATTCCTTCCTTCTCTTCGATTTAAATCGGGTTAAATCGGGCGGATTAATATTGCCGGATCGAACATCCGGGATATTCCTGTCGTATCGTTGCTGATAAGGGGGGGAGGAAGACGAGGGAGGTCGTAAATCAGAGCAGTGACGGTGCGCGGTTAAATGGATTCGAGAGATTCCGGTTTAGGTGCGGACCAGAAATGTTGGCCATAGCGGACATACCGAGTATAACCGAGGCCAGCCGAATTCGCGTGGATCCGCGTGGCCCCCCCGTGGCGGCGTGAATATCGTCGGTTGGCAGCCATCCTGACAGGGATGATACTTTTTCCATTTTCATTTTCCCCGAGCACTGCCAAATCTGCGAGTGACCTACTACCACTACCACTCGTCTCCGCTGGATGGAGGCAATTTTCGAAGGTGACCCCTTCGATAATTGTCCACGGATGTAGAAACTTATTCGGCTATTAAAACACAGGGGGAATAAATTAGCCTCGTAGAGGCTATTGGGCGTGAGTTCAAGAGGACGGGATCAAATTCTATCAATTCTTTAAAAAAAAAAAAAAAGGAGAAAAAGAAAAGAAAGGTTGCATCGATTCGAATTGAAATTGAAAACAGCAGTGTGGAGATCGATACTTATTTAACTACTTTTTTTTTTTTTTCAATGGAAGAATCACAATTTTTCATCCCGTTCCAATTGATCGAACGAGCTCGATCGAATTATCTCGATACGATTCTTCGAGAGGGAAGGGAAGTTCGTTACAATCGTACACATTGCAAATTTTATCAACGACACAAAATAATCGCAAAAGAATGCGACCAAGGGGGTGTATACAAGCGTTGTAAAAGTATAAAAAGTGTATAAGCAAAACTCGATACTGTACAGTAATAAAATTGTTTTAATCTTTTCGAGCTGCTACAGAGACTTTCCACCGAGCGATGATCGTGTTAACCTCGGGTAATTGAACCCCTTCCTTCTCCTAGCCCCCATCCTTTCGCGTCTACTTTCTCGGATATCGTGTGTTTAGCTACCTCGCCTCGTCCCGCCTGTCGTCCCCGGGATAATCATCGTGGGAACGGGCCGCAAACTCGTTAATACGACGGAAGAACACGATTATTATTACAGTAGACAAAGGGACACGTCCATTGAAAAACGAGAATCGACGAGAACAGCGCCGGCTGAGTATTTAGGGAAGATTGGCCGAGTTCTCGGAAACTCGATGAAAACGTAATGAACGCGGACGAGAGAGAGAGAGAGAGAGGTCTGTGCTATTTTAAACGAGGAGATCGAGCCACGATTCTTTGTAGGGGCAACAGAAAAGCCACAACAGGTGGAATCGAAAAAGTCGTTTTCAATCGAAATATTTCCTCCCCCTAATTTTTAACACATAGAACTTTGTAATTTTCGCAAGATTCTCTTAATTAATAATTATTCGAAAATTTTCTTCTCGAAATTTTACTTACGCAATTTTTTTGATCAAAATCCTTCGACGATCCTTGTCTCCTTTTAACACTGAAATCTCTTTCAGCGCGCTGTACTTCATTACAGATACTCTCATCGATATTTTAATAATGAGATTCGCTGGTCGCAAGAATAATCTGCATCCGCATTATTTGTTTCCATCGTTACATTGAGATCTTCGCTTGTCACGAACAGTTCGAATCTTTGTCGAGTATAATTTCTGTTAAAATTTCTGCTCTAATTCGTTCCAATGTCGAAAAGAAAAATGGAAGAATCGTGTCTCAGCGAGTCATATAACAGTCATATAGCCAACCACATCTTTGTACAGAATGCTTTAAAGCATTAAATAAACCATTTTTGTATTACTTTCAATCCCATAGTTTTATTACACCCTGTGGAATATCTTTCCACAAATACCTACGAACCACGATTGAGAACTTTTACTGTCTCTAATTCGTTCCAATGTCGAAAAGAAAAATGAAAGAATTCTATCTCAGTGAGTCATATAGCAGTCATTATAGCGTGCAACAACTTTTCGTCCAAATTCGTCCTGACTAACTTTGTACAGAATGCTTTAAATAAACCATTTTTGTATTACTTTCACAACAATTCCATAGTTTTATTACACCCAATATTTGTGAAATATCTTTCCACAATTGAGAACTTTTACTGTCGAATATCGTGGCGAATTAAGCTGATATCCCAATACAAATTTCGAGGAACAAAAAAGGAAAAAAATACACGAAATACTCACGATCTTGTGATGAAGATGTTGAAGCTCCCTCTCGGTGACCCGCCTCCGTGACAATTCGCGCTGCTCCCTCCTGTACTGGCTGTACTTGTAGAAAAGATACATGCCAGGAAGGGCGAGGACGACCAGGGGTTTCATAAGGCTGGCCCTTCCGCTCCCACCGCGGACACGAGGCTCTGGAGGCTCGTCAAGGTCCTCCAGTTGGCCGGCACCCTCGGCTGGCACGACCGGCATGATTAATTACCTTCCAACGGAAAATCGATATTAACGTGAGAAAATGAATTCAATCGCTGCGAATATATTTCCTCTTTCCTTAATCCGAATATCCGTGCGCGTTTTTCCTTTTTTCTTTCTTTTTTTTTTTTTTTTTTTTTTTTTTGTTGCGCGAAGACGTCGAAGGGGAAATCGTTTCGCTTCCCGCATTTAATTAATGACACCGAGATCCAATTATTGGCGCGGCCTGTTAAACAATACCCTGTAACGGCGCATTGTTCTTCATTCAGGATATCGAAACGACGCGGCCACCACCGCTACTCCAATTGGCCGGAATGCACTTTAACGGAGAGACGACGAACCCTCCCACCGGTGTGCCTGCCTCGCGAATGGATCATTTGTTCGGGACGGTTAATTAGTTCCCCTCTCTAGTTGCGAAACTCTCGTTTGTACCGGTAAAACGGAGTTAAACTTGGAAGAAGAGAAGTTGAACCAAGTTGCAAGTGAAAAGAAGTCTGCAATGGGATGGGCTCGAGAAATTGTTCCGTACACACGGAGCGGATAGGAATTTTTATATTTTCGTAAACTATTTCAATGTGCTGATAAAAGTTGAGCGGGGAGAAAGAGAGGGGAGGGGAGAGTTCTAGGTCAGTAGGAGACGACTATTGGGTATTGGTTTTCCATCAAATCGTTTTTTTTTTTTTTTTTTTCCCCCTACAATCGCTTGTCATCCCTTGTATCTTCTCTCCACGTTTCCCGATATTTATAATCCTCGTTAATGTCTTCCTGAAACACAACGCAACGAAACCTGTCCTCCCCTAATCCTGCAGGTTGATCGAGACGAAGAAGAATCGTCGCCGCGTCAAATTTTATCGATCGTATCCTCGAAGACTCGAAGACTCGTCCCGTCGCGATCGCGACTCCCTTCGCTTCAATTTAGATTAGAGTCGATCGATTTTCTGTCCATCGATTATTTTCTACTGGGAGAGAAAAAATTGTGCCCGCCAGGCAGGACAACGTCCTCGCTAGGATTTCCGTGACTTCGATGAAATTTCGTAATATAATAGCCGGTCGTTCACCGACTATATTTAATTCAACCGTCTACTCGCCGTGCTATTCTTAACTAGCTGCTCTAGAAATACGCCGAGCTGTTACGCCGCCTGTGGCTGGGTCGCGTACCCTCCAACGTTCGCTGCAATTTGCTCCGGGGATGTCTCTCATGATCCGATTATAGCAGTTTCTACGGTATCCCCGAGTCGTGAATTAAAGGAACGACGATTGATTCGGACAACAACTTTCTGTAATTCTTAATAGAATCGAAACTGAACTCATCATCCCCTCCCGGTTTACGTAAAGGTTTACCTTCAATTTAAATTTCGATTTGTCGAGTTTCTAATAATTTGTTTTAACGCTCCGAAGAATAGAATAGGTTGTTGAACGATTTGGTTGTAATGAAAAAGAAAAGATGGAGCGAGAACGAAGGGATTCTAGTAGAAAGGAAAAAGTGAAACGAGGGCGTGAAGAGAAAGAGATTCAGCTGTAAAAGAAATCACGTAAATAAATACGTCAGAAGAAGAGAAATAGAGGAGAAAGAAAAGAAATAGAGGAGAAGGAAAAATTTCTAGAAGAAAAAACTGATGAGAAATGGATAAAGCGTAACATCTTATACGGATTTCATATGAGATTCTTCTATTTCTCACGAAAAATTTACTCATAATCGATCTTACGATTTCGTTATTACGATCTCGAGATTTTATTTCAAATAGAATAACACGTAAGCTAATCAATTTGTCATTTAATTGTAAAAGAATGTCGATAAGACTCGTTCGTAGAAATGACTCGTAGGAGAAATAACGATATCATAAATATCATAAATATATAAAGTATCGTGTGCATTGCCGAGATTTAAGGAAGGAAAAACAAAGAATTCGATCGAATAATGACGAATGCTACGCAAACGTGGAATTCTATACTACCATTCTCGAAACGAGGAAAGATATCAAATGAGTTGTTCTACCAGCGATCGAACGAATCGTAAAAAAGATCAGGCATGCGAGCTGGAGCATCGTCGAAAAAAATAAGCAGAAAAAGAGAAGAACTGAAGCAAGAAATTCGATATTTTTTTCGAGACAAGAGCATATCTGATGTAACGTATACCATACGTGTATAAGCGTGTACTTTCGTACGTGTTATCGCCTCGAATGGCAATACATTATCGGAAATAAGTCGATATATCGACTGATGTACATCTGACACCGTCAGAAAAGCACGCCACCTTGGGGTTGCTCGATGTTTTTACCAGCAAGGGCAAGGTTATTCACGCGTTCTTTTTCGCCGCTTCGAAAAAAATACTCGACGAGCTTGCACGGGATAATCACGGCCGCCTCTCCGCCTTTTTCTCGCGGCGAAAAAAATTTGAGACGCGACGAACGTGGAGGAAACGTGAGAAGGATACGTGGAGCACGATATCTGCTACGATATTATCCGTAGAAAAATCTACGATACGGTATCAAGATTGGAGGGGTGAAGGGGGGTAAAGAGAGAGGAAAAAAGCGAAAGAGAGAGAGGAGATAAAGTGGAGGAACGGTCGAACAATGTTCGGGGGGGGGGGGATTATTACGCTATTATCGCGATGATTATCGTGCGGATCTAATATTACACGTACGTATGCGTCTCGCCTTGACACGTCGTAATGGCGGTCGCAAGAACAAGGACACCCACCGCGGCAGGATAACATCGTATCGTATAGGCTACGGCCAAGTACACGTCCTGCTCTCCCTTCTATTTTTATGCCAGCTTTTCCTCCCTGTTGTACCGTTCGATTGTCGTGTATTGCACGATTAGAATCGATCTGCCCACTCTTTTCCTCATCCTCACGTGACTCCACGCGAAACCTGATGCCGTGACAGAGAGACACAACACCCGCCAAAGAGGGGTCGAATTTGAGTTTAATCGTTCCACCGATTTGTCGCGTTCACTCGTGATTCTACTCTCCCCGAATACGGAGTAAAATGATCGGGGAAGAACGATCGACCATTCATCGGACTCCATTGTGTGTCATTAATTGTTTCAAGTACGCGCGTAAATCGTTCATCGAGTCCCGTAGCGCGTAACTTTAGACGCGATGGAAAGAGTTGAGAAGACGGAAATAACGCGCGATTTCGTGCACAATTTTATCGTCCTACGTCAAGCAATATTTGATTGAACGAACGGGTAAATATCTGGTCAGTTGGTTCCAATGCGACGGTCGGATTCGATAAAGGAGAATTATATCTGAACTCAATCTATCCCATTTTTCTTTCCTTACGTTGAAATTACGATGTATAGAGTTGTAATAAGAATTTATGACTCAAACGTGTATCGATATTAATCCGATGACCATCGCGTTTAACATCGTATCGGTTCCGGAAAGTATTTACCTGATTAGGCTCGACAACACGTTTCTGAGAACTCGTGTGAATTTATGAAGTTTACGAAGGCCATACGATTCGACCGTGTATGTAAACACAGGCAGCGATTGGCGGCCGAAGACACCAAGCGATAACACATTCCAAACGAAATAACCGTGAGTCATTTCCAAACACTGACACTCCTGCCTTCGTCGATCTTACCATTTGTTGCAGTTAACAATTCATCCTTTCTTTCTACCATTAGAAAGAACACCCATCGAATATCAATCGAATACACCGAGCGGCTGCTCGACCACCGTACGTGCCGTCACACATCGAGTACAAAAATCTAGGTATCTAAGCAACACCATGGTGATTGTCACGAAGCACTTACGTCGTGTTCGTTGGTGAGACTAGGTTCGTTCGATGATCGCGCCAGACGACGAGACCCGTTTGTCCACGATCGAATGCACACGTGAAGGGGAATGAAGGAGAAAGGCGGCGAGAAACGAACGGAAAGAGCACGAGAAGAGGACGAACCGGCGGCGACACGAGCCGTCCCTCGTGCGCTCACCTCAGCTGAAACATAGCCGAGCAGCGACTGCGAGGCTGCTTCTACCGGCGGCTGCACTGCGCGCCTGCAATCAGCCGAACCGCGCAACGGCTCCGACTCGTGATTGTTCGACGCCAATCGGTCGTTTCCGCCACGCCTCGGCAATATCCGCTATCACCCGTTCGACCTCGATACTTTTTGGCGGTCTTCGAGGAACTTCGACCGCCTGCGCGTTACAGCCGCAGGGTTGTAACTACACGGGGACGCCTTCGCGATATTTTCGCTCGGATTTCACGGAGGCGCGTCCATGCACTGCGCATCCATACCAACAGTTTCGCCACCGTTCCATCTTCCAAGTTTCTTTCCCCGTCGTTCGGTGCAGGCCTCTGGCTGTATTCCAGGTTTTGCCAAACCGAATTTTCGAGAGCTTTCGGATTATTCATCGAAAATATTTCGTAACGTATACGCCAAGCTCTATCGAAATTTAGAAACTGGATACGTATCGGATTTCGAAGATGGAATCGAGACGATTAGTCCCGTACTGTATTCATTCATGAGATTCCTCGTGCAATACGACATGTACGAAACGATCGATCGATCGTACACGATTGTACGTACACGCGATCACCGTAACCATGCAACTGGACAGTGAGTGACGCAATGCACTTATGAGACTTATTGGTAAAAGCGACGATCGAGGCAAATTCTATCGGCATAGCGGCCGGGTGGTACATGGTCCTCGTTGCTGATTCCTAGCGACGATGTTGCGCTACTGCTCCGCTGGAGGAGGATCGATAAAGGGAGGAGGGATGGAACCACCCGGGAAGAAACGATGGAATCTGCGCTCTTCCTTTCCTCCCCTTTTACCAACCTCGCGAGCACACCGTTCACCCACACGCATGACTGTTTGGTAAATCCGCCGATGTCGGTCTATTCTTCGGTTCCCTCTTCCACCTGGCCTCCCTTTCCCTCTTTTTTTTTTTCTCTCTTTCTCTACTTTTTATCCCGTTCCCCTCTCCCTTCCTCCATTTCCCTTCTCTTTTCCTCTTCCTACCTTTCGAATACCAGTTCCATCTCTCCCGAGGACACGCCGATGCGATATTAGGGTTAGTGAACTCTGGATCGACGCAGATAAGCGTCCGAGGTCTTTTCACCAGGCGGCTGATTATTTTCCAGCGTACGATAAAAGCGAGCATTCTCAGATTTTTGCCTTTGTCGAGTTATTTATCAACCTCGCTCTCTCTCTCTCTCTCTCTCTCTCTTTCTCTTTCTCTGTCTCTCATCGAAGCGTAATTACGATTTTTGCTGATACGCTCGGTAGAAGGAAGGAATTGGGTTAGGTCGCCTCTCTATTTAATATTCAAGTATATGATAATTAAAGATGGGGGAAAAGTTAATTAACGAGCCGTGCGCAATCATTGATGAGCAGAGCGAGACGTAACCTTTCGCAATCGTGGAACATTCGTTGCGATCCATCGGAAGAAACGGGGCTCGGGAATATTGCATGCCCTCCTTAAATAATTCATCAACAATTTATCAAGAAACACTTGCTTGCTCGCAGTCAACCTTGGAGAGCTTTCGAGGAAATAAATGATTTCGCGCGAGAAAAGCTTTGGGAAGAGAAGCTTTGGGTTGCAACATATTGTTTCTTTCGAGCTCGTTTCATGCAAATAATTACACATTTATCCTAAGCCAAAAATCTGGAAAAGGAATTTCCTAATATTATTTAATGCACGATGTTCAAAGGTCGCACGGTTTAATTACCGGCCACGCCAGGTATCATCCATTTAATCATTATGGAGTGGAACGTTACGCTACACCAGATTTTATCGCGTATTATTTGTAGAAATACCGGGTTGATCTCGAATCGGGGAAAAGGTCAGAGTGGGTTATACGCCCTCGCATATTCGGTCCAGAAGATCGCGAGTCGCTTTGATACTTGCTGATTCCATTCGACATTGGTATGAAAGAAAGAAAGAAAAAAAAAAAAAAAAGGGAAGAAAAGAAAAGGGAAAAAAATATAAAAAAAAACAGGCGCATTGTCTTTCGTCTTTCGTCCGGGTTGCTTTTAACCCGAACTCGAGGATTAAAGTGGAAAATAGGGACAAAAGGGATGGTAGATCGCGCGCGCGGCCGTGTGTCGAAAATCCGAGAATCCCTCGAGTTTGTGTGCCGCACGGGCGATTCAATGCACGCTTGGTAACGAGTACGAGTTTCTGACGTCCCCTCGAAATAACGAGGCCTCCGAACAAAAGTGCAGAGGCCTTCTTGTGCACCTAAGCTAGGGGTAAAAGAGTGTCATTACGTAATAATATCTCTGAAAATTCAACGTGTTACCGCTCCCTTCCACGACTCTCCCAGAAACAAGCAATTTAGTCCTCTCTTGCTGCAAGGACCTCTTCACAGTGCACTGCACCATCCTTCCCTTTATCTCTCCGGTCTTCATCCACCTAGGGGGAGACACTTTGACAATGCGACGTACGCAACAACGGAATATGCCGAGAATAGCAGTATCTTCTTTCTTTTCTTTTTTTTTTTTTTTTTTCTTCAACTTTTTCACGATATACGTTCGATACGTTTCGAAGGAACGTCGATCGATCGAGGAGGAAAGCGAAGCACGGCGAGGTTTTCCCATTTTGGAACACCATCGGCCAAGGAAACATCCATCCTTGAATCGTGGCCAGCGTCCTAGAAGCATGGCCATTTTTCGTGACGTTTGACCCGTTTCTACTGGATGAGGGTGACGTCACCGCGGGGAAATGTTCAGATCAATGGTCCTCAGAGGATTGGCGGCACTGGTTTTGCCTCCGTTCCTAGTAAACACGTGCCCTCAGACGTGCCCACTCGAGTTCCCGATTCGATGAAAACGATCGAGGATAACGAGTATAATGACAGCCGTGAGCGAGTTATCGCGATCCCTGTGATATCCTAATTTGTATCGTCTTCCCCTCTGATCGATGCAATTCACACGTGTACGCGTGAATATATAATTTCCTTTTTTTAACCAAACGTCCTATTTCTGTCTCTCGCGTAGGATTAATTAAAACGAGAAGTCGATAATAATAATAATAATAATAATAATAATAATAATAATAATAATAGAATATTTCGTTTCAATGGTATCCCACCACCCCTGTGAATTCTTCACAGTGAACCCGTTATCACGGAACCGTGGCCTCTCAATAGGGCATCAATCTTGGGCTTAATAGTCTCAGTGACAACGCTCATCTTCTAAAATTGATGCCTTCGTTAGAGGGTGCTCACCCGTTCTCATACACTCCTTTCAACACGATCGATCGATTTCATCGAGATTCGATCGTTTCGTTTCGATATGCCTTATACATTATCGCGTGACAAGTAAACGAAACAAGCGTCGAACAGGTTTCCCACATCTTGGTCGATGACACGTAACGAAACGTTACCTCGTCGCGATCATTTCGAAAAGAGAGTTGAGAACCACTGGCGTGACGTCACGGAAAGTTCAATGACGTCATAGACCGTTCGATACACCGTGATCCAATGGTGGGGGTTTGGTTTCACCGAGAGAAGCGTTCAGGACCATGGGTAGGAGGATGAAACGAAGCTGTGCGGCATGGGAGGAGGGGGGGCGAGGAGGAAGAGGGGGAGAAGGAGGAGCAGGAGGAAGAGGGGGATACCGGCGCATGGAGAACGAGAGACTTTTCACGCCGTTGCAACTGAATGCTGGTACCATTACACTCGGTAGATCAAAGAACTAGGCTGACAGATTCGGCCACGTTGTTACCCCCGTTTCTTCCCCATCCTTTTCTCCCTCGAGATTTCCACAGAGAAACAAACATTTTTCCGTGTCGCGAATCTGGATGATGAAAACTTTCCAAATGGAATATTTTCCATAATACACAAAGTCGTTCGATCATCGCGTAAATTATCGTGTATTCCAATTTCTCGATATTTTGGAAAATATGTGAGATTGCTCGAAGGAAATATTTTTTTCTCTTTTTTGTTCAAATGTTAATTAACATGGCAACGCAGTAACGAGTTAAAGCAGGGTTATTCTAGCGGGGAGTAGCGATAAATTAACGACGGTGTCCAGGCTGCATGTGCGTATAGAAGGGAAGCTTACTATGTCGACTGATTCTGAAGCACGAAAGAAGAGGCGCGTCGAGTGGATACCGAGGCTCGAAGAGGCAGGAAGCTCGGCATCTAAACGAGGATTTTCTCGAGCGACGATGACGTATATACGCGTCGAGGTGGCCCCGAAAGCCGGGCCAGAATTTTCCTCTTTCTCTTCTATCGTGGGTCGTCATCTGAAAAAAGCCGACTCGGAGAGACCTCTTCAACTCTCTCGTTTCCAGACTTTCTTTCCGGCTCACCCGTGGCACGAGATCTCCACCGAGCCGATGCATCCACCAAGACCTCCTCCCTCGCCAGTTTTTGCGGTAAAATGATCGAACGAGACGAGATCGGAGGCGCAATTCGACTCGAATCGAGCCGTGAAATATACTATAAATATAACTCTCGAGTCTCGATGAATTTTCTCTCCGCTCATGGGACGAGATACCAAAACCTTCTATCGAGATCTTTTCTTTCGATTCCTCGAAACGCGTATTTAATTAGGAAACGAATCCGCGGAGATGTTGTTCCCTGTATGATCAAGGAGTCAAGAATGACCATTTCTTCGAGAATGAAGGTACTAGGAAATCTCCAGCGACCTGTTTATCCGTTCTTGAGGATGCGATTCAGGGTAGCCGCATTGCGCCACCCCCACTATCAGTCAGGGCTGCTTATAAAAGGTATATGCTTGTAATTTTCGTTCCGCGACTTGGTGCACTCTGCGGTTTCCGGCTGGCCGAAAGACACCGGTACACCGGAAACACCATCGACACGCTCTTCTCGACCGTTAAATCGCGTTATGTAACGCGATGTTGCGCACCAGGCATCGCCTCTCCTCGTTATTTATATCATTCGATGCGCGAAACCAGGCATTCCAGTTTCGTTCGAATATGCATCATCGGGAGGGGAGGGGGATTTTATACGCAGGGCAGGGAACGACTTCGCTTCCTTGACCAATATATTCGTCTCGACGTTCGACTCCCTACGTTCGTGGGGATCGTTCAATCTCGAGACGAAATTGGTCAATTGATTTTTTTTTTCCTTTTGATCTTTTGCGATAACAGAGGAAGCGGAAAAAAGCGCGTGTTCAAAGTACTATTTTTTACGCGCGATAGCCGATTTCCACGTTTAATTATCCGA